TTGAGAATGTATTCATAGTCTTAGAAAATGAGATAAATGCAGGTGGGCTGTTCTTATCACTGGTATTTACTGGGCTATATGTATATCTCAGATTTATTTTTACTACACAGATGAGATATTGTTAACTGGCTCAACAGATAGATAATGTAAGCACTATGCCCACCTTCAGTCCTCAACTCCACCCAAACCTGAGCTTCTCCCTGCCCTGGAGTTCCAACCAAACAACTGGCCCCTCCCTCTCTCCACCTAGACCCACCTGAACTCCCATCTACTTCACTTCCTACCCCCCCACACCCTGCTGCTACCTAGAGAGTGGAGGCTGCCATGGGCTCTCTCTTGGGGGCAAATATGGCTCCTCTAATAAACCTTGTAATAATCTTCTTCCTGTACCTGCCTGCCTCCACATGGTCCCCTGGGATAGATGTGATGGATCCTTTCAAATAGGATAAAGATTCTCTATACTAGGGGCTGGGAAGGCGGCTCAGTGATAGAGCGCTTGCCTTGCATGCCTGAAGCCCTGGGTTCGATTCTCAGCACCACATAAACAAAAAGAAAAAAAGCCGGAAGTGGCGCTGTGGCTCAAGTGGTAGAGCACTAGCCTTGAGCCGAAGAGCTCAGGGATAGCACCCAGGCGCAGAGTTCAGGCCCCATGACCAGACCCCCCCCCCCACCAAAAAAAAAAGATTCTCTATACTGTTAGAATTATCCAATTTTTAAACACTGAGTTACAGTAACTGATTGAGGAAGGTAAGACTCCATGTTGTAGACAGCTAGCTGTCCTCAAAAGTTAGTTCCTCTTCCACAATACAGACTTACTCCTGGAAGGTAATGCCTGGTAGAACTATATTTTCAAGTCACCTTCCACAAATAAAAGTCAGCAAAATCACATGCATCATTCAAGGTAACAAGGCATCTGTTTCTTTGCCCAAACTCTTCTCAAGTTCTTCTGAACTCTCTTCAACCAGGCCTGACTTTTGGAGTTCCATATTCATCTTTGCACTGAACAGTTCAGCTGTAAAGAACAGCTACAGTGAAGGCCAATTTAGCCAGAACCCCTATCTTAAATAGCATCCTGATACAGTTCCTCAACCTCCTCTGTCACCCTGGTGATGTATAATCACCCTGGTTTGTCTTCTGTAAGAATCTCATTAAGTAGATTTGGCCAGAATCCCTTCTTACTCATGTTTCCTCTTATAATTTTCCATCCTCCATTTCCCACTTGACTTCTTGCCTACAAATTCCCTTTTCTTTATAGAATTAAGCCTAGTGTCTCTCCTCTACTGCAAAACCCCATAGAATAGTCCCTTTACTGATCAAGTTGGGACAAAAGAAATTCTGCCTAACCTATTTTTTAATAAGTTTCATTGAAAATTTTTGTTTCAGGTTTTTTTCTTCCTTTTTGCTGTTGTTAGTTTGTTCTGCAGTATGGAGCTGGTGTGATACCTCTGAGCACAGCCTCTATGCACACAGGTTCAAGCTTTTAAAAAGCAGGTATGCCTTTTGCATCTCATTTATTGTTTCTGTCAACAATTAGGCCATAAGGAATGGCAAATCATAAAGATGGATAGAGACTAGGAGAAAAGACACCAGTCAGCCAAAAACCTATACTGAATGCATATATGTATGAAATAAACTGGACTGGGGACATAGTAATGCCTAGCATGCACAAGGCCTGGGGCTTCAGCTTTAACACTGGGGGGGTGGGGAGGGAGGCTATTGAAAAATTTCAATTTGTTTTTTTTTTTTTTTTTTGGTCTGGTCGTGGGGCCTGAACTCTGGGCCTGGGCGCTGTCCCTCAGCTCTTCAGCTCAAGGCTAGCGCTCTACCACTTGAGCCACAGCGCCACT